TAAGATTATGGAAATCGACAATCTATTATCTTAAAGCGATTATGTGTTATCCATCTCAAATTGATTGTTCGCGTATCTTTGTAATATCATTAGGATCTAATTGGTGATATCGACAATCCGCAGAAAACCCTCCTATCTAATAAACTCAAATCCTTGTGTTTTTTGTGGGTTGGAACTAATACAAAGTTGTCCCAACTTGTCCATAGAGATGTGTTCACTATTTTCCCCTTCAAAGTACGGTGAATCAGTTCTCAGATTGCAAAGGATAATAATCCCTTATAATCAACAATGTCAAACACAGAACTGCAGATAATCCCTTATAATCAACAATCGCAAATCCCAATCATGATACATACAAAATCATGAAACCAGCTCATTTGCATTCAATTGGACCAACAAAATGAAGCAAGCAATAATTAGAAGACCACATTTCAGCTTCGATACCAAATTGATAAAGTCACCTCCGAAAAAAGTGGGTGTTGACCAGGCAAACCTGATCTACGAGGTACTGCTTGAACTGGAGCAGCGCCGCCGTTGATGGAAAGCTCCGCCGTACAGCTTGACCGCCGGAGACTGGGGTTTTGGGGAGGATGGAGGCTTGGAGAGAGGTGCGGAGGAGCTCGCCGGTGACGGTGGCTAGGAGTGTTATTAGGCGTTAGGCAGGGATAAGGTCGAAGACAAAATCATTGTTTAGATTTGCTTAAAAAAATTATTATAATATTATTATTATTCTAACCAAATTCAATGAATTTCGAAAGTGCTACATAAAAAAATTATACTAAAATTCTGAAAAGGAATAATTTTAGATACTTATTAAATTGGAAATAAAAAAAATATAAGAGTTTTTTTATTTAAATTTTAGACTTATTAAAAACTGTATTATTATTTTTAATTAATATGATATTTTCTACTTGTGCGATTTTTTCGTCTTGTATTATAATAATTTTTCAATGAAATTATAGGTTATTTTTAATTGGCATAGAATATTATTAATTATTGATTAGTATTAAAAGATGATTTGATTTATAAAAATAATTTTATTTACTTATGTTATATATGTATTATTTATGTCAAATGAAAACTCGTCAAGAGATGATTAATACTAAATATATTATAAATATAAAAAAACTTCTAGTAAATACAAAAAATTGATAACTTTTAAATATATTTCTAATTAATTAAATTATCTTATTGTTTTATAAATTCTAAAGTCCTTATAGGTATGCAACCTTTAAATCTATATGAATTACTCC